GAAAGTGACGTGACATGTGGCCAAGTATGGTGACCCATAAAATATATATATAGTTTTAATATATCTACAATATTATATTTATATTTCTTAAATATTTTCAATATATTAAAATGAATTATGATTAAATTATTCATTATTAATTAAATTATTACATTTATTCATATAAATAATATAAAGTTTTAATAAATGTATGTTCATGTATTTATATTATTCTTTATATATTTCTCTCTATATAAATATATAACAATAATTATAATAACAGAATAATAATAACAAAAATGAGGTGTTTAGGCTTAAAACAAGTGAAAAATAAAGAATACACTTTTCAGGTCTTAATATCGGCTATCATTATCTCTTAAGAAGTTCAGTTATATTCATTAAAAAAACCCTTTAAATACACTTGCAGTGTTGCTGCTCTTTTCAAGTTCTGGAATATGTGAGTGCATATATACCCAGTAGATGACTGTAAGAGGTCTGTAAGGGCAGCAGACGACGAGTATATCTGTCTGTTCACTGGTAATTAGAAGCCCAGCTCAGAGTTCCCACCAGCCTTACCGTTCTTCATCAGGATGTCATTTGTTTATTAGCATGCTGCACTGTCGTCTGTTGTTTCCCTGTACAACAGATCTTCGTCCCTTACCTCTCCTGACCCCACAGGTCAGCACTTCAGAATTCATTTCAGAATAATGAGGCAGTGTGTCCGAGAAAAGAGGAGACAGAGGAACAGGACAAACATTCTACCTTTCCACAACCATTAACGGTGTGATCAGTCTTGTGCGGTCTGACAGTTCTCCCTAACACATGGACAGCAGATCATACTCAGCCACCTAATGAGAATGGAAATACAGAGGTATTAAGTGTGACAGCGTGTTAGCTCACATGTGGAGGAAGACATGTACATTTAACAGCCGAAGGTTAACATAAAACATTGACTGAAGGGAAGGGAATTTAGAAAAGCTCAAAGGAGAGGTTTATAAAATCCATGTGTCTAAAATCAAACATTTGATGTTTAACAACAAAAGGGAAAACTCTGGAAACCCCTCGAATGGCATATGAAATTGTTTTTGAAATCTTTAATTTGACGCTCAGTGAGGTCAGACTTTTATTTTTGCAGTTCTTAATTAAAAACTTGTATGTTTTTTGTTGCAGTTACTTATAGTTTCTGGAAATTAGCAAGTATCCTTTAATTCGTTTTTCACATTTTTATTAATATTTATTTAGCGCAAGTGAATCCTGCAAAGTAGGCCTATACACTACCATTCTCAAATGTGGGGATTTTTAAAAAACGTTATTGAAATCTCTTATGCTCACAAAGGCTGCATTTATTTGATTAAAGATACATAAAAAAAAAAGTAATACTGTGAAATATTACAATGTAAAACATCTGTTTTCTAATTCAATATAGTATTGTGGATTTTTAAAAAACGTTATTGAAATCTCTTATGCTCACAAAGGCTGCATTTATTTGATTAAAGATACATAAAAAAAAAGTAATTCTGTGAAATATTACAATGTAAAACATCTGTTTTCTAATTCAATATAGTATTGTAAAGCTGAATTTTCAGCATCATTACTCCAATCTTCAGTGTCACATGATCCTTCAGAAATCATTCTAATATGCTGATCTGCTCAAGAAACATTTCTTTTTATTATCAATGTTCAAAATAGTTGCTGCTTCACATTTTTGTGGAAACCATAATACATTTTTTCAGGATTCTTTGATGAACAGAAAGTTCAAACAGGATTTATTTGAAATAGAAAGATTTTGTAACAATATAAATGTCTTTACAGTCACTTTTAATCAATTGAATGCATCCTTGATGAATAAAAGTATTAATTTCTTTCAAAATATAATACAAAAAATCTTACGGACCCCAAATTTTGAATAGTAGTGTATGTGACCACTTTGAAACTGGCTTCTGGTTAACAGTATGCTTTATGCACATTTTTTGTTTTTGGTAATCACTTGCCATATACAAACGTGCAATGATGTACATAATTCCTCCCTGATCTCCATTTAACTTTTTACATAATACCACCATGACCAGCACCAAAGGCTAAGGGGTAGATAGTGTCATTCTGAGGAACTACAGGATAAATATATAGGCTTACATAACAGATTATCCAGTATCTTGTTAAAAGAATTAGGTGAGTTAGGTATTAAGGCAACACGGGACCCTATGGGACCGTTGTGAACCTGACTCCTCTCCACTGATTACCTGAAGCGCATTTCCCACATCACCCCAAGATCTGCACTTATTTCATTATTGCAGGCTTATGTCCACATGGACGAATTTATACCATGCTCTCCCTGACCCATTTGCAGCCAGCCAAAAGCAATTATTGCGGCATGTACACTTGCCTGCTATAAAACCACTCTCATTTAAGGAGACTGAATGGCCTGTCAGGGTCATTTTCATTTAAAACATTAAAACACTCTAACCATCACTCACATCGAGCTGGAAATGATAGTATAATTTGGAGGGATACATGAGGGCAGGTTATTAAAATGTAGCGGGATATGTGGTGCGGTTTTAATGGCACAGGATGAAAAGACGCTCAGCGTGCGGCCATCAATACCACTTCTCTCTCCCGTGGTTCTCTCCACCAATTAGAGGTACTATGAGAAGGCAAACTGTGCTGTGATTTGCAATGATTGCCTGAGGGCACTGGCGCACGGCCTTTAAAAGACAGGAGAAAGTCAAACACTGAGAACAGCAAAATCCCCAATAACATTAATTAAAGAGCAACCAGTGGGAAATGCTAATAAAATAAATATTTCATGTTCATTTATTTAAGCAGCAGGGCGTAATGTACAGTCAACAGAACATTATAGCAAAATAAACCTCTTTAGGTTGATACCATAGACCCATTTGTTTCCTTTCTTCAATGTAATTCAGCGGGATTTGTCCTGTTTTATCAGCCGCTAGGATAAAATTACAAGTCTAAATGGTTAGAAAAAAAGCAATCTGCTTGTCAACGTGTATTAAAAATTGTTTTTGGGAATTGAAATAAAATAAAATATAAATATTTAAAAAACTTAAACTTTAAGTAAAATAAAATAAGTTCAAATATTAAAATGACGGTCACACTTTATTTTAAGGTCCAATTCTCACTATTAACAAACCATTAACTACGATTTTTGCCTCAATAAACTCCTAATTTGCTGCTTATTAATAGTTAGTAGGTAGATGTTAAGTTTAGGTATTGGATAGGATTGAAGACCATATTCTACATCATATATCGTTTCGCTTTGGAAGGCCTGTATTAACCCCTCGGAGCCGTGTGAAATACTTTTTTATGATGGATAGATGCACTTTTTTAGGCTTCAAAATCTCAACCATTGCATTCATCTGAAAGAAGAAAGTCATATACACCTAGAATGGTTTGAGGGTGAGTAAATCATGGGGCAATTTTCATTTCTGGTTGAACTATACCACAAAGATTTATTAAAATACCTACCATTAAATATAGAAATACTAATAAAGATACAAGCACAACTAATAGTTTTGTAGGATTCATGCGCTGTACAGATCAGAAAACCATATAATTATATCTGTTTTATTAACTAACATCTGACAAAGCAGCTACCCAAGAGTGAGTAAATGAAGCGAACACAAAGCAGGTCTATTTGCTAACTCGTGTTCTGTGAGTGCCACCGAAGGACCCTCTTGATTTGGGGAAACATTTCTTTTAGTCGGCTCTTAAACGGTGCCGTCAAATCACCAGCACAATCAAACGGGCTGAGATGAAAGGAAAGCCATCTCCTGCTCTCTCTAAAGCCTCTAACCTCTCCTCATAATCCCTTCAGACCCCATAGACCCGCACTAGCAATAGGACTTATTCCACAGATCAGGCATTTACTCTGTGTACTGGGAGAAACACTGAGGAAAAGCTTCTAAGTATGGTAATATAAGTTTGTTGGAAACAGAAAAGAAAGAGGAGCCAGAGAACGGATAGAGAAGAAAGAGATGAGCAACAAGAAATAGAGGAGAAAGAGGAAACACCCAGAGCAAGGAGAGAAAGAAAGGAGATGGCGATGAGAGCAAAAAGAGACAAGAGAAAGAATGGAGACAGATATGAAAAGCAGGACATTGAGGTGAAAATGAGAAAGATGAGACAGGGAAGAAATGGATAGAAGAGAATGAGAGAAGAAAGAAAAGAGAGACATGAGAGCAAGGAGGGTAAGAGCCGGGAACAAGAAAGAGAAATTTTGTAGATGAGAAAATGAGACAAGAGATGAGATTGATGAAAGCAAAAAGAGATGATATCTAGATGAAAACGAGGAGAAAGAGATGAGATAGATGAGACGGGAACGAGAGAAGAGACAGATACAGTATGAGAGCACACAGAGAGAGAGAGGAGAAAGAGATGAGACGGGTGAGAGCAAAACAAATGATCGGGAATGAGAGGAAAAACAAAGGAGACAAAGAACTGAAATCTAGGAGAACAGAGGAGAAAGAGAGAGATAAGGAAGAGAGGACAAAGAGGAGACAAGAACAAGAGAAGAGACAAGATATGAGAGCAAGGAGAGAAAGGGGAAAAAGAGGAGAAAGCTGAGTTAGATGAGAAACGAGGAGGCAGGAGAGAAAAGGAACCGAATGAGATGAGAGAAAGAAGAGAGAGAAGAATGAGAGGAGCTACATGAGAATGGAGACATGCATGACGTGAGATCAAGGAGAAAAAGGCGAAACAGGGGAGACAAATTTGAGATGGAGAGGAAAAGTGAGGATACAGAGATGAGAGCAAGGAGAGAAAGAGATGAGAGTTCACATTAGAGTATTAGAAGAGGAAGAGGACAAAGTGAGACTGAAAAGGAATGGGAGAGGAGAGAACGAGAGGAGGCAGAAAGGAGGGTGTCAGAACTTTCTAAGCACTCCTACAAAGTGAACATCTTCATGCACATACAAAGAGATAAAGCTCAACTGAAACTCATGAGATAGAGAAACACACACACACACACAGCTTGCCATACTGAAGACAGCCTGATGCTCATTTACCTATTGTGTATCCTCGTTTCAGATCGCTGCACCGCGGACCACGGCGCTGGGTATTGGTGGTGTTGTTTTCTTGCACCTCAGATGTGGTTGTCTTGGCAACAGGTGGTGAAGATCTGTTTAAGGACAGACTCGGGATGAGTCGCGCCGGAAAACTTTGAGAGCCGATATCCACCGACTGGGACTTCTTCTTTAGTCTGAGAGGAAACAGCACAGGACATGCAGAACTGAGCCTTTAAACCACTTGTAAACATTTTGTGCTGCTAAAGGCCTGTCTTCATTGATTCCATCTAAACATTTTGTGTATGATTAGATCCTCATGAGAAGCACTTTTCTTTGCCAGTCTATTATTATGGCATCATGCAACCATAAAAGCCAACAGATGGAGGCAACGGGTGACAATTTGACCCAGATTCTTGGTGAGTGCAATATGTGACTGAGCTTTGTGACACATACAGTAACTCTTATAATTAAAAAAAACTAAACTGAATTTTTTTTTCTAATGAGTTATTAGACTGTAAATGTCTTTTTGTTTTGGTTTTTAAAGAAACACTGGTGGCTTCTGTTTTATCTTTCAGTTTTTTTTATCATACACAAGTTTTGTGGCTAAATCTCTGTTCACAGCTTGTATTATTTGATAAGATATGTGACATTTTCAACCTTTAAAATCATACTGCGGGGCTTTTATGGTACGATGATGGTATAAGATGGTAAAACTATGGTACTAATATACTGACACTAAATTATTGCATATACTCATATTTAAATGGTACTCTAAAGTTCTTCAAAAAACCATATGATTAAAAGAACGTGATAACATGGTGTAAGTAATTCAGACAGAAAGGGCATATAGTACATGCATGAGGTTTCATTGTGCAGCTTAAGCAGAAAAAGTAAATTTGCCTTCTGGACACTGAAATATTGCCAAATTTCTGGAATTGTAAAAATGCTGCATTATTCAAGAGAGTCATTTTGGATTAAAACTACTGAACAAGATAAAGAAAAAGTTTAATTTCTTCGCTCAAGGCAAATTTTTAATCTTTAAAGTAATTTGCTTTAAAACATGTAGTGAACCTAAAGAAAGAAAGGCAGATGACTGGAGTCAAGATCAATTCACTGTTTGATCTAACAGTCAATCACCTTCACCTTCCATTTCGACTCATGATTGAGACAAAAAGCCTGGAAGAGCAAAACAACATTCCCAAGAATCCTGCCAATCATCTTGGGGTCAATCCTGAAACGCTGCCAGCACGAGAAATCAGATAAACAGCATGTGCTGTTATGTGTAAAAGAACCAGGTAATGAAGAGTCAGATTGAATCTGCAGACTTTTTCACATTTCTGAATTATTTTTTGAGAAAACTGTGGAATGGATTTAAACGTGGTACAACGGGAGTGCTACACACGTACTGGTATCTGTAACAAATTTGTTGAAAAGAAAAAAAAGGAAATAAATAAACAGTAAAAATGCAGGGGTGCTGAAAGTTTGGATGGGCTTTCAAATTCTAGTTTGGCAGGTGACCTATGGACTATAAAAAAGGGGGTCCCTATAAAGCTTAAAAACTGTGCCACCTACTGGTGATAAATCAAAAATAGAAATAATATGACAAAAAATATTTGTAAAACTCTCTCTCTCTCGATATATATATACTGTATATACATACATAAACAAAATTTTCTAATATTTTAAATAAATTATTATTTATAATTCAGAAACATTTTACTGCAATTTAATTGTAGATTTAAAGCTATGTTTCCGGCATAAGCACCAATGCTCAATGTGATAATTTCATAAACATATGGCTACTGCTTACATAAAAGTTAAGGAAAAAGCATTATGAGCGAAATATTGATCCCACATGTCAAAAACGATTACGTATTATATACTGCTTTATAATCAGTTGAAAAAAAAACTTGTCTATAGACAAACATGAAATTATTCTATCTTCCTGCAGAGGTGTGTGTGTGTGTGGGCATGTCATTTAGACACCTGTCTAAATAAACAGCTCACAAAGAAGCCTCCAGCACCTCTCTGACTGCATGCTGATGGCAGACCCCAGGTGCGGTTCCCTCCCTCTCTCTGTCTCTCTCTCTTAAACCAGCTCACCATTACATAATATGTGCAATCAGCCAGAAGACAAACACCGGCTGGCAAGATTACACGGTTAAGAAAGCCCAACAAAAACAAGGACTAGTTAGTTAGCCAACACACAGCAGTAAGTCAACCAGAAAACTGAAGCCAGGCGGCCAGACTTTACACGAAAGTCCAACTCAACCAGCTCAAAAACACAGAATACTCATCCACCAAAACAGTCACCTCAAACAGTAGGCAATCCCTGAATGTACAGCGATTAACTTTACAATTAAAAAGTGAGAGGGATGTTGACTATAAATATTTCGGTAACACTTTATTTGGTAACACTTTACTTGAAGGGGTGTGCATAAGACTGACATGACACCTTCATAATCATGACATGACACATGTCATGAATATGAAGGAGGTTGTATGCATGTTTACGACAACTGTCATTAAGTGTCATTCGCTCAGTTATGTCATTTTTAATGCAAATATGACATTATTTGACCTAACTCTACCCCTACCCTTACCCCTAACCATAGCCCATAACAAAGACATCTCAAACAATGTCATCTTTGCATTAAAAATTACATAACTGAGTGAATGACACTTAATGACAGTTGTCATAAACATGCATAAAAAAACCCTTCATATTCATGACATATGTCATGTCATGATTATGAAGGTGTCATGTCAGTCTTATGCACACCCCTTCAAGTAAAGTGTAACTCTTTATTTTAAGGTGCCCCGTGTTACACATGTTACATGTACTTACTATAATAACAATTAATTATGCATAATTACATGCAAGTAACCCTAAGCCAAACCCAAATCCTAACTCTAACCATATAAGTACATGTAGTTAATTAATATTACTCAGTACTTGTGTATAATAACACTGTAACAAGGACATCTTAAAATAAAGTGTAACCAATATTTCATACAAAAATACTTTAATCCAACTAAAAGTATTATTTTTAAACAATACAATTTTAGCTAAAACTTGTGTATTGATGCTTTATTTTTATTGTGTTATTAGCTTTGCATCCAATATATAGACACGCGCGCGCACACACACACGGTCAAAAGTTTGGAATAGTTAAGATTTTTAAAAATGTTTTTGAAAGAAGTCTCTCATGCTGACTACGGCTGCATTTATGAAATGAAATGAAAAGAAATACACAATTCTCATTATTACCAATGTTAAAAACTAAATTTTTGTGGAATCCATAAAAACCATGCAGCAAAAACCATTTTCAACATTGATAAAAATACAATTAATAATTTAGTACCAATAATAATTGATAACAATTGAACACAAAATCTGAATATTAGAATGATTCTGAAGGACCATGTGACACTGAAGACTGGAGTAATCCCACCGCTGCCACATCTCGTACCGGCAGGGATTGTAGGTGGGTGGAGTGAATGTACAGCGCTCTCTCTCCCACCATCCATACCACGACTGAGGTGCCCTTGAGCAAGGCACCGAACCCCCAACTGCTCCCCGGGCGCCGCAGCAAAAATGGCTGCCCACTGCTCCGGGTGTGTGTTCACGGTGTGTGTGTGTGTTCACTGCTGTGTGTGTGCACTTTGGATGGGTTAAAATGCAGAGCACTAATTCCAAGTATGGGTCACCATACTTGGCCACATATCACGTCACTTTAATGGCTGCTGATTCAGCTTTGCCATCAAAATATATTTTGCCATTTTAAAATATATTAAAATAAAAAACTGTTGCATTGATTTGTAATAATTTTTACTATTTCAACTATTTTTGATCAAATAAATCTAGCCTTGGTGACTGGTGAGCATAAGAGACTTCTTTCAAAAACATTAAAAAGAAAAAAACCTTTTGACATAAATTTGGTTCATTGAAAGTGATTCATTTTGTCAAATAATAACCATTTTTGTCGGATGATGTAGATCACTGAATCAAAGATTCAATAGATCAGTGAAAAATCAATGACACTACAAGAGAAAATCATGCAGTTAGTTTGTGATTTGTTCAGTCAGACTGTTTATGCACCTGTAGTCAGACACACTTTTCATTTCTCCATTTAGATGCTCCTGTTGTTAATGTGAATGCAAAATGGCCACTTTTGAATTGGAAATGAGGGCCGAATGGCGAGTCGTTGCTGAGGTCCCCGCTCTCGCTGTGATGTGAGGTGCGTCTTAACTAGCTGGAGCGGCACTCTTTCATTCCTCCATGTGATTGAGATGTGGTGCCAATCATCGCCGTGGCTTTATCTATTATTCACAGCTCAGAAAGACAGTGAGGGGTAGAGGAGGGTCTGGCCAGCTTCCAGTCTTTGTAACACCAGATGTAAACAAAGCACCAGCCTTCTTTCAAACAATAATAACCACAGCCGCCTCGCCGCGTGACTTCTGCTCTGATTAGAAGAATGTATTCATGCCGAAGCTGTATTTTAACCATCAGCAACGGCCATCGCTGCTCGAGTGTTTATGTAAACAACATTCTCCTTCAATTAAGGGGTAGATTATGTGATTCACAGACGCAGAGGCTGCACTGAATCAGTACAGAACATCTGCCATGAAAACACTGCTTACTGCTCGAGCTATAATTAGAAAATCAGTTTTCTAAGTCAGAATAACCACAACCTGGAAACCCTCCTAAGCTGCTAAGCAGAAGATGGTAGAGGTCACGCAAGGTCACCGGAAGACAGATGCCATGGTATAAGGGTGAATATCATTAAAACATGTCGGGGTCATGGAAGCCCGTTTTGCATATATAAATATGAATATTTAAAAAATATATAAATACACACATATACATGTTTGACTTTCAATTCAAATTCCCTAATGCAAGCTTGTAAAACAACAATGAGATTTTTTGCACTACATTACCGAGAACAGCAGATAAAATGTGCTTAACCTGAACACAATATCACAAACAACACAATCTTAATGGTTCCTAAAATAATAGTTTTTATTTTATTTAAACTAAAAACAGTGTTTCCCCCCATTTCTTCTTTTGATTTGGGGTGAAATATCACCGGTCATGTTCTGGACAGGCTTCATGAGATTCACCCACACCTCTTTCTCTCCGGCCATTTTTTTCGAACCCCTAAAGCGTCCTAGAATCCCCTACTCACAGCAC